TTTCTTACAACACCCTGTTTCACCAAGCGACATGCGTGAGCTGTTTGCAACCTAAACAGGTGTGGAAATAGGGAGTTCAGCTTTCTATAACTTACATGTTAGCCTTGTAAACAGGTGTGAAAATACGCCACATTCGTACTATTTTGTTTAAACCATAATTACGAGCAGCAGAATGAGAAAAAACAATTCAAGTCAGCCTCGTAATTTTGTAATTCCGAGGCGGTTACATCTCCCACTTGGTGAAAAAAATAGAATGGCTGCAAACAGTGGTGTAGTCTACGTGATACGTAGGTATAAGCCGCATACACACAAAGAAAGCTCCAGAATTTCCTATAACCACTTAAAAATGCCGGAGGATACGTAACAACATAGTTTTGTGAGGGAACTCGCAATTCTGCAATTAGGTTTTATAAAAAACGGGTCGGGAGATCTGACAGTAAACTCAAAAAATTTGTTTCGCGGTGTCCCGCCCACAGCACCCTCTGATTGGTTACAGGTCACGAGACTTAGCCTATCAACGCCGACGCCTGCTGTGTACACAAACAGTCACGGGACAAGAGCAGCTCCGGTTAGCGACCGGAGCCGTGTGTCTAAGGTAAGACAGCAGACATCACTTTAATAAACGTCACAATCCTCTACACTGAAGTTACAACAACACCGCGCTCTGATGAACAAGTTCACCTGTTGATCTAAGACACACCGAGCAAGAGAGAGAGAAGGGGAGAAGCTAACGCTAACAGCCAAGCTAAAGAAGCTAGCATAGCTGAATAGCATGTAAACAACTGCAATCCCGCAGAATGCCCGCTAAAAATAAAGGAGACTACACCATTGGCTGCAAATGCATCTGGCAGTTACATTAAAATAAAAGCCAATATTATCACAAATACAATCCATTCAGTTCATTTTGTAGGAGCTATTCGTTTTATTGTAGCCCCTGTCTTTTGACTACCTGTTACAAAGGCGAAACACAACAGTAGCTAATATAGGCTGTTTAGCTAGCTAGCACTGGGCTAACCACCTTGGAATAATGTGGTAACAACTTGTAATAACGCATGTTTTTTCTGTTCTTATCTGTTTTCTGTTCTTTTTCTGCCAACGTTGCGTTTTATGCAGCAACTTAGCATGCCAAGAGCTCCTGTGTTAGCCAGCTAAACAGTTAAATCTCTACCGAGGATTTTAGGGATGAATTAGATCTAATAATACAAAGAAAGTGTGTAACTAGAGAGTGATAAGGGCGGTTTTTTACAACCCAAGCTAGCAACCGAAATGTTAGCTAGTTCTACTAGTCATACATGTACTGCTTTTTGTGCCATAACCTGATCCACTGGTCAGTTACTGCTGATCTTCGCAGCTATTGTTGTGTCTATTGGCAATAATTCTGCCAATATCTCAAAATGCCAACGGTAATGATTTGTTGATGCGAAAATGCTCCATCTAACTGAGTTCATTTGAAGCAGGGTTTTAGATACCACCAGAGCACTTAGCTGAACTCTCAGTCCAGCTCTGGCTCAGCCCCACAGCAGCTCTTTCCCCAGCAGCGGCTGTGTAATGGGACACTGCTAAACGATGCTGAGAGCGCTCCAGTGCAGTCATGGCCTGTTACACCTGACTCGCTCCTCTAGACCATGCACTCGCTTGTTGTTAGCTTGTCTTCTCCGGGCTAATTTATCACACTATCAGACTCATCGGCTGTTGGCTACTGGACGTCCTCTGGCCTAGAATTAATTACTTAAACTGATAACTTGAGCCTAATAACTTTGGTGTGCGCTGCAATATTGTGTTCCTTATTCCTGATGTATAATACATAGCAGAGGAGGTTGGGGCACGCAGGAACTACATCTTTACTCTTGCCTGCTAATGCTATCATCCACAACTGATACCCAAGCATGTAAATGCACTTAAGAGTGAGTATGATGATGACTTTCGGCTTTTTCATGTCACTAATGCTACTAATACTAACAACTAAAAACTTACTGCATGTATTTTCTTGCCTGGCCTAAAAATGTGTTAATCTTTTATTTTCTGCCTTGCCTTAACAAAATGCAAAAGTGGGTACTTCATTTGGGTTTCTTATTTGCAAACTCTGGGAGTGGCTCAACACACTGGACTTTGTGTTTTTAGCTGTATGTGCAGTATATGTATGTGTGTGCATGTGTGTAAATCTTTGCTTTATCCTTACCATACAGTATGCGTCTCTGTTCGCTTTGTTCCCTCTCACCATCAGCCATCAAAGGTCAGTAAAGGTAAATATTAAAATTTAGTTGTTGCTATAGTTGGCTTTTAAGATTTTTATCTGGACCATGTAGGCTGTGATTTTTGGCTAGTTTTTCTAAACCTAAATCCTGAACAAATTATGTTATCAATTAAAGAGCTCTTAATACTTTTATTAGTGTTTGTATGTTGGCAAAGCCAGGTACACACCTGTTATCACAGGATTGTCTTGGTTTAGGTACTCTAATTGAAAGTATTTCGCTTTTTGACATTGATGTGTCCATCGAGGAAGATTACCTTGGCTTGTAGACCTGCTGTCTTCCTGAGCCAAGGTTAAGCCGAAACTTTAACCCACTCATCAGTGTCACAGATTAGTCCGAGTTGGTGTCCACTTTTTGCCAAATGGATCCTCCGTTTCCACTAAGAGCTTCAAATGGCTAAACCTCTGCTCAGATCAAAGAGTATATTTCCACTTAGGAGTCTTTCACTGTCATTTATCTTTAGTTTCTGATGTAAACAATGTAAAATGATCATTTGTAAAAACCCATATTGTTTCTTTCAAAACCACAGTAGTGCATCTGTTCATACACTAAACACATGCTCAGTTATACATCCATGATACAGTTCATTATTTGTGCACTTGTACGCAGACTGTGGTTAATGCCACATCCTTATACAACTAACTAAAAGTGACAGCCAGCCAGCGCTCCAGGCTACACAAGGTTAGATAACCCAACGCATACACACACACACACACTCACACTCACTCACTCTGTCTTCTCTAAGGGGTTATTTCCTTGCAGCCTCTGCTCCTGTTGGAGGTGTCCAGTGCGAGTCCTTAGGTTTCGCCCTCCTGTCTCATGTGTCACAGCATGTTGTCACATACAGAGGCAGTGATGTATTATTGAAGACGTTTGCAGGTAACTTAGGCACTGTACATTAGGCAAACATGAGTGCAATTACCTACATCTGGATGCATGTATAGGAGTCTAATTGCTCTGCATAGGCGATGACTGATAATATCTCTAAAAATAATGATGGTGTTTGCCAGGTTTATCTTGCACTTGGGTGATTTATTCACAGTAACTCAGTCAAACTGATTTAAATCATCAAAATGATCATAACTAGTTTAGATAAAATAACTACAGGGAAGTGAATCTAAGATAGCACCCTGGGTAGCAATCCGGCCTGAACATAAATAAAGTGACCACTGATAATAAAAAGAGGAATGGCCCTCTCTGCAGCACTGTGCACTAAAGGCCTCTAACCAGCTTTCCTTTGTGTATGAATGGGCATCTATATAGGGAAAGGCTCATGCTGCAAGAGTGGCTAATTCCTGCTAATCCCAGCGTATCTCCTACCTCTTAGCAATGGTTTCCAATGGCAGCCCTGGAGCAGGGGGAATAGCTAGTGAGATTAGCTGGCGTTAGCTCCTCCTCTGTGGGTCACACTCACAGCCAGGCCAGGCTAGCCTACCACTGCTTCCATGTTAACCTTTTGCACAGAAATGGATTAATCATATTTTGAAAAAATGTCCTACATCTTTTTTAGAGAACAATGTAAGTTTGCTTTACTTCATTCTGCTATTGTTGTTGTTTTAGTTTCGGTGATGTTTGTATTTTTTGCAAAACTGTGGAGGCAGAAACAGGCCCCCCCCCCTTTAACTTGAAGGATTTATGAAAGGTGTGTTTGTGTGGAATTTAAAAGTGTTTCCTTTTTAATCATTATTTGTTTGGCTCTTACTGTCTTTCTGTTGCACATTTCCATGTAAAGATACAATCCTGTTATTACTGCATTTAATGACAGTGCATTTATTACCTTGTCTTTTTTTGGAAATAGTCTGATAAATGTTACGTCTGTGATCTAAATGCAGAAAGAAAAACAAGACGGGACAACTGATATGGGCTTTTGAAATTGAGACTCTGCTTTGATTGGCCCTGAAAGTAGGAAACGCACACCCCTCTACCAAATAACTGACATCAAGAGATGTATTCAAGTTCTCAGTCATCAGATACACTTAATGTAAAATTTAATGTATAAACATGATTTAAAATCCCAATTTAGCACCTTTTGAAAGACAATCTTCAAGCTTTAAATGACAAACCTTAAACTATAGATTCTGATTACTGATTGCCATGATCATTAAGATTACATTTTTGATAATTAAGCCTTTTAATGTCCTGAAAATAAACCTTTTTTATTTCAGCATGACTCAGTCCTAATACAAAAAAGTCATAATATCAACCTACGTTGTAATCCCTCAGTCTAATCCCTTTGTATTGTTTATCTGCACCCAGCACCTACAGCTCCAGCGTGTTAAATCCAATATAATAACACAGCATCGGCCTTACAAATAACTACAAACAGTCTTTGTGCTGAGAGATGGTTGTCTGTTTCGTTGCACGAGAACACACACTCTGTCTTGAGTGCTAACCAGCATCTTTGGAGGTCTGTCTCCACTAACTGAGATCCAGCTAATACAACCGCATGACCATGCTACAACTTTTTATTCAGCTTTTATTTGAATTAGTTCCACATTTCCAGCTCTTCCAACTCATTCCCCACTGTCATTATCAAACGTTAACCTGCCGTTTGACCTGTGTTAAACATTATCTGGTGGACCAGTTATTTTATTGCATCAATATAATTGCGTTCCTTTGTGTTTTATGTTTGTTCAGACATTGATTAATAACAGTATAAGCACACCGGCCACATGCAATGCTCTCTCCCAGCTGCCGCCTTCCCCCTGTCTAACAGTGACCCATGTGCTTTTCTTTCAAAGGAGATCTCTCCTGAAGATGTTTCCACAATCAGGGAAATCGATTGTCTTTGACAACTTTCCGGATCCCACTGACACCTGGGAAATCATCGAGACAATCGGGAAAGGGACCTACGGGAAAGTCTACAAGGTGCTCAACAAAATCGATGGAAGTAAAGCAGCGGTGAAGATACTGGATCCCATCCATGTAAGTTGACTTTGAATGTCCAATATGAATGATATTTTTTCTTATGTATTACTACTCTCTCTCTTAGTTTAGTCTGAACTTCACTTGTTTTGCATAATGCCTTACTGTGTGCCACACGTGTTGCAGTCAGTGCTTGTTAAAGCAGCTGTAAGCTCGTGCTTTGTTGATGCCCTTGGTGGAGGCACACGGAGGACATGTTGCTGTCTTGTGGCCTTAAACCTGTCACATTTATAGCATCTGTATTTTAGAGTTTTAGACACCAACACAGATTAAATCAGAACATTTTTACTTCTTCCTTTTTTTTTTACTTTCAGTATTTCTCTCTGTAAATTTGATAGAATGGCTCACAGGTTGCAAGGTGTAAGGCTATATATATGTCTATATGTGATAGACCTGTGACCTGTCGCGTGTGTCCCCTGCCTGCCGCCCAACGTCAGATGGGATTTGCTTATTAATCTCTGGTAGATCTGATACGTCATCAACATAGCGACCGATTCATTAGCCCTCCCCTTGACAAGATAAACATCATGCTGCTGTGCTCTACTCTCTGCATAGGGCGTATAGAGAGGAGATTTCTTCTAACTATTCTTCTACCATCGCATTATCTCAGCAAACTGCTTCTGATGAATTGTTCTTCATCGTGCATATGCAGCAGTCCTCTGATCATTTTTCATCTCCTCTGCTTGTGCAGGGCTTTAGCGTTGAGCCAAAACATATTTGCAGCAAAATTTGGCCTCAAGCAAAGAACAAGTTGACATATAGCAGAGATGCATGATGTTACTACATGATAGTGTGGGAGGGATTCATCCTTCAAAGGAGAGAGCGACAATATTTTCCAGTTGGTGAACGTTACTTAGGAAGACATTTCTGAGCAGTAATGAAACGGAGCATTTATTTAGATCATTTTCTGTCGTCTTCTGAAATACAACACAAGCACAGGTCACTGTTTAGCTACTGTATGACTTTAAAGACAAAGGCTTTCTTTTGCCAAGCTGTTGTAAAGTTATAAAACAAAACTGCCATTATTGATAAGTTGTCACTGTGTATCTATCCTGTATAGACAGATAACGACCTCTGTGTTGTCTGTTTTGAAGGCACAGTGAACTGTATGGCTTATTTAGCAGCTCTAATGAGCAGCTATTTTCATATATTAAATCCAGCCTTCGCCTTAATGAAAGTCTCATTAGACTTTTTATAAATTTGTTACTGTTTCTCATTATTGAGAGATGATTATCTGCAGACCACTAGTCTGTGAGGACCGTCATTACCACCATTTTGATTGCTGGGCTGATTATTTCATGTATAGATCTATAAAAATAGAGTATATCTACACTGAAAAGTCCCTTCATGTGCCAGAGTATCCTTGGTTTCAGGATTATGAAGCACTTGTGATTTTCATTCTCCTGCCAGTTTCATTTTTGGTGAAGTGTGTTCAAGAGTGTTGAATAAGAACCGTGTTAAGAAGTATTTTTGCCTCGGGGTTGAGCAGTGATTCCCAACCAGGGGATCATGACCCCACAAAGCAGTTGCAAGATGAATCAGAGAGAATTAAAACCATAAAAACCATGACAACCAAAAAAAAAAAAAAAAAAGGCTTGCAATCCCTGTGGTAGAGTACCATGTATTATACTGCTACAACAGACGTGTCCTCTTATAAATAAACTCAATAAACCTCAATACACTGATGGAACATTTACAGAAATTATAGTGTATAATATTGTTTTATCTTGCAAACTGTAAAGAGAACAGTTCCTAGAGACTCAAATGATAATCTAATATACTGTACATCGTCACTGCAGGATGTGATACAACTGTACAGACATAAAGCTTGACTTAGTTTGGTACATTAAATGTATATCAGCTAGATTTCTACGTAAGATAGTCCTGTCCTCTTGTTAGTCTTTATCACACAGTGTGGGTGCAACATACAGCGGTGGAGTATCTCATGATTGCTATAATCAAGATGTCCTGGATTTGCCCTTTTCGCCCACACTGTCAGTGATGGAGGCTCGACATGCTGCCCTGAAGTAGCGGCTGCAAGAAAAAAGATAGTTCAGCATTTTCTTTGTGAGAGTTAGACGTCAAGATGGGAAAAACTTTCATTTCTGTTCTCAGCTAAGTTTTTAGCTTAGCTTAGCATAAAGACTGGAGGCAAGGGGAAACAGCCAGCCTGGTTCTGTCCAGAGCTAACAGGAAAAAAAAAAGTTTTTTATGATATGACACGTCAGTGGCAAAAAGCTTTAGATAGAGAAAACATGACTTTTGTAAAATTGCAATTTTAAACTGATCTGTGTCCTTGTTTCTGCAGGATATAGATGAGGAGATCGAAGCAGAGTACAACATCCTCAAAGCTCTGTCCGACCACGCCAATGTTGTCAAGTTCTATGGGATGTACTACAAGAAGGATGTGAAATGTGGGGACCAGTTGTGGCTGGTGCTGGAGGTAAGAGCGCTCATCATATTTGAATAGAAAACCCATTGTGTGTTTGTTACAACCCATATATTTGACTGAGGACTTAAACAGCATTTGTGTGCATACCATGGCCGTACCGTGCAGACAAAGAGCGTGTAAGTGCAAATTAAAGGTCCGATTGTACTTCTCACTGCATGTCTCACCAGGTATATGCAGTGGTGACCAAATCTGGCCAGGGATTATGTTACAGTTTAAGCCACCATTGGCAGTCTAGGAGTTTACTTATAGGCCACCTGGGGGATTTGGTCGCGGGCCAGTTAGCATCGTTGTGGTGTTGGGGGTGGGGGTTAGCTTGTGTGTCATAGACGCCCTGCTGAGAGCAGGGATTTCTGTTTACAGGGGCTGTCTCAGTGAATTAGTTTATACAAATGATAGGTTGGAGCAGAGGCCAACAAGTCTATTTTCTGTTGTTTGGATTTTGGGTAAAATAAGATGAAATGGTGGAAATAATAGGACATTGTTTGAGGTTGGTAGATTTTCGTATTTAAACTGCTCAATTTGCCATGTTTAATTGGTGACTGAATGATTGAGCAGAAACAACACTGCATTTGACTTTTAGACTGCTTTTCTTGCACCTGCTCTTGAACAGCAATGGTTACATGCAGGTGTGAATTTATGATATTTTATGCAAAAGTTCAAGGGGACCTTGGTGCTGCTGCTGCTACTTTATGTTCATCTAAAAAAGCCGCCTTGCCTCCAGGTCCCCAGTTCTTCATCTTTCATATGTCATTGCTTGCTGTAGCCCCTTTTGAAATGTCAGCTTCCAGACAAACATGTAATGGAGGTCAACCTCAGAGGAAGGAAAAGTGTTTGTGGGGTCCAACGCAGTGGAGGATGTCACTTTTCTTTGCCTTTTGACTTTTTCACTGTGTAATTTTGTGTTCCTGCTTTGATAGCGAGCAGTATAAACCTGGAGACGTCTGGTAAACACCGGCAGGAAACCTGAGGAGGTTTGATAGGAAAAAGAATGCAGGAAATGTGTCACAGCTATGGTCCATGAGGTCTTTCAAGTAGTTTTAAAATGTGTATGTTTATATATATATATATATATATATAAAGCATAAAGGGTACAATAAAGAGACATTTTCATTTCTGTTCATCTTGAAATATCCAGTCTAGTTATGCGGCATTTCTAACCCTCAGTGGATTGCGTACACACGTGTTGTCTTTGGTTTCAAGGTAACTTTTTCTGACTCCACTTAGAAAGCAGTGACCATCAGTTCAACAGTGTACCTGTTCCCTTTTCCATTATCAGGTACAGCACTGCTAGAACACAGCGCCCATATTTCTGTAATCCAAGCTCAATGGTTCTGCATCAACAGCAGCAGTGTTATGCTAACCCAGTAGATAGTTTTCACCTCTCCAGCTTGTGTTTCCTTCACTTTTCATCGCCATCCTTCCTCCTGACCTTTTGTGGAGGACTTTGCTCGGATATCAAGTACGATCTAAGATGATGAATAATCAGAGCACAGGAAAACAAAGGCCTGTATCTGATAAGGTAGTTCTTGTTTTGCACTGTACTGATTGGTAGATTTATATCATGCCAGTTGTTTGTTTTGTTTTGTTTTTTTTTTACATTTCAGGACTCAATTTCTATGAGTAAAAATAGAAATATTGTCTTTGCGGATTGCATTCAGCCTTGCTACTTTGTTTACTCCCTGTCCCCTCCGTGGTTCGCTCATCCATTTTCAACATTTCCCTTGCAAAAATCTGCAGCCAGCAATCTAAATCTGGTGGCTAATCCTGAGGCTGAAATCCCTGCCTGACAGTTTAGCAAGTGGCTGTGTGGAGCTGAGTGTGTGTGTGTGTGTGTGTGTGTGTGTGTGTGTGTTTGTGTGGTCTGAAGTAGATGCACATGGGGTTTTTAGGGGTGAAGGGACAGGAAAGCAGAGAGTGGTGGTGGTCATTCACCATGGTTACTGTCCCTCCTTTCTAAACTGTAATTTTCCATCCTTTAGCTCTGCTGAGAGGAGCCTTTCTCTGCCCTGTGCTGACAGCAGACCTCTCATTGTGAGCAGAATTCATACAAATTGCATCCTCTACTTTGTTAGCCCCTCATTGGAGTGTGCAAGCTTTTTGGCTTTGCCCCTGTAGTGTGCTCCTCTATGGGTTCGAATATGGGCAGAGAAGAGCGAGCTTTCATGTGTCACGGTCTAAATTTGCTCCCAGAGAGCTTAAAAATACTTCAAAGATAGCGACGATGGAGTGACTTTTATTCTCTAATTGGAAATAAAAACCAGATTTGGGGGATGCACATTTCAATTGTGAGCTCCCACGTTTCATCCAGAGGCTCTGTTAAATGAAGGCCAGTGCTTAGTCCAACCTTTTAAAAGCTCATCATCCAGAGATGTATCTCATCTTCTATTATGCAAAAATGAAAAGTCACGATGTTGTAATGCTAAATTGAAATTGCATTACTTTGTGCCCATATTTATGGAAGCTCTGAAAGGCAAGTGAATAAAAAATGTCTTGCTCATCTATGAAAACAAGCCCTGAGAAGCAAGTAAGTATTTATTTTTGTGGGGAAAAAATTATATTGAAAAAACTATTTATATACTTGGCCAAAAGCTTCTAATCTCTGCTGTGAAACATAATTTCAGTGATCCATTTAACGTTTGCTTTGGTGCCTGAAATCTTTGCCGAATTACCGCTTTTACCTGTTGAAAACTAAATTAAAGTATTTAGGAAAGAAAACCTGTCAATACAAGCTCTGACAGTCCACAGAGAATTATGTACAGGCAAAGCGCTCATCAAGTATTTAAAAATTCATGGGCTCAGTCATTACAGGAAATGGAAGAAGTAACTGGGCATGAAGGGCCTTTTGTAAGGACCAAATTTACGTTGGTATCGTCGAGAGTTTGTGCAGAGATTGGAAGAATTTGTCAAACTGTCTCTGCAGCGCCACATTAAACATGTCGTTGTGGGAGAGATGCAGAAAAGGAGCCACTTCTGAATAAAAACACCACTTGACAGCCCGCCCAGAGTTTGTCAAATTTGTACTTTTAGAAGAATTTAATGGCGATAAAAACATTAAGGTTTTGGGGATTTGGTCGTGAGTGAGAAACTCGTGAATGAAGCTAAAGTTACTTGAGAGAAAGGCGATCCACATGCAGGCCTGAACGTCCTTGAATCTGAAGGCAAGTATGGAAGAAACTCGAGAAACCAAAAATCAGAATGGCTTTAAAGAACTGAAAGGATATATTTGTAGTTATATTTGTTTTTGGCATTGTCTTTATATTGCAACATCTCCAGTTAAACCAGATGCTTCGATTTTCAATCGTTGCTGTTCGTCCTCTCTCTTCGCCTCCGTGACGGACAGTCTCTGAAAGTCAAAAATAAACCTCATTTACTGCCATCAGTCTCTGTCCCGACTCATCCTGACCTCTGCAGTCATTAATTTACAATGAGGTTTAAAACGCCATTCCCTGTTCGGACTTTTCAATAAACTGTGCCGGAAAGCAGACACCTCAGCTTTTATGGCACTGTAAGCGATAAGGCCACGGCAACAATGGGAATGCTTTTCTCTGGAGATGATCCAATGCGTCTCACACACACACACACACACACACACACACACACACACACACAGGGACTCACACGGACTCACACGCTTCATTCAGTGCTGCGGACATGATGCAGCCCCAAATAAAAACACAACGCGTGTTTATATTTGCAGGAAAAGGCGCATCAAAGATAGTTGAAGTCAGCACCTGTGTGGGTTTCTCCCTCACCGACCCGTTTGTTTCATCTTTACGTTTGTTTCATCCACTTCTTTTGCTCGTCTTTGATCGACTACTTTCATTTGCATGACTAAACGAGCACCTGACCTCATTTGTAATGGAGAGTATGCCTCTCAGGCGTTCAGTGTATTCAGGTTATTCTTTTGAAAACTGATCGTTCTGTGAAAACTCACGTGCGCGTGCAGGATGTAGCTGAAAGATGTGAATCTTAACAAGTCTTTTATATTAAAAGTTTCTACTGCAGCCACTTCCTGTTTTATGGCAGATCAAACTGCCTCAGAATTAATTAGGTGGCATTAATTGCTGTTATCAAAAATAATTACCAGCCATACTATGTATTTAACATTTTAGTGGGTAGCTCCTTTCAGCTTTTATATGTATAGTTGGATATTATTGACGTGTTTGTTGAAAGTTTTAATTTGTACTTGTGCTGTTTACTATGAATCGCTGTAACATTGTAGTACGTGGGTGATCCGACACAGTCAAACTGGCTTCGACTTTCCTCTTCAAACGTGCTGTATTTATTTTTGATGAAGCTGTGTTGGCAGGAAAACACATCAGTCAAAGAAAATCAGTAGTTGCTTCGCTTCACAATGATGGTATATGTGTTTTTCTTGAGTGATCTATGGCGCAGAGGGAATTATTCAAATGTTTTTCAGACTATGGATTACATAAACATCTCTACATAGCTGCTACTATAATGTACAGTATCAGTCAAAAGTTTGACTGGCGCTGTATATCATCATGAAATGTACAATTTGTGGTGCAGTCTAATGGAACTTAAGCTAATTGTGTCTCCACATCTGTGCTCAAACTTTCATTTCATAGAGAGGAAGTCTGGTTAATCCGTACAAGAATTAAATCAAACCGGGTTTCACGTATCGTTTCCACCCTGCAGAGGTTTGAGTCTTCATCACATGTCAAATAATTAATGTTCATGTCGAGCATCACTTTCTGGATGTGTGGCTCTGTGGCTAAGGTGAGAGTGCTAGCGTTTAGCTGGGCTAAATCTAGGACACCGGACCTCTCATTAATATGGATTTGTCTGTCTGCCCTGTGTAATTTAATGATGACAGGTGATATGGCAGCAGAGATGTGGACTGACGTCAGGCGCAGCTCATTGTCAGAGCACAGCGCTGTCTGCGAAAAAAAGCCTCGGCGGGATTCTCTGCTTAACTGCAGTTTGTCTGCACGTCCGATAGCAGAGAGGAGGAGTGATTAAACTCCCCATGTGGCAGCTGAGATACACGCCATCCATCCTGCAACAGCACTCTGGGCTCCTGATGGACAGGCAGATTGATAGGCCGATAGAAAACAGACACGGGGCACAGTGTTGAAAACTTATGCCAGTGCTTCGTCAAGGTCAAAGACTGTGATTCGCTCTCAGAATTACCGATTACTGAACAGCACTACCAGGCACAGGCCCAGGGAGCCACGGGGTCATGGGGCCCCTGCGAAACAGTTTCTGTCGGAAGTGACTGTTCACATCTCGTTAGAAAGTCAATCGAATGACTTCAGGCACAAAATGATCACAAAGAGATTCAAAACTACAACAAAGAGACACATTGTTTGACTTTTATTAAGCAAAAATGGATGTGCCTACAGTGATTAACATGAAGTCTACTAAGTTTTTAACCTTTTTAACATCCATATGGTATTTTTGAACATAATACAAGACATATCATGAGTGAAATAAGCAGTGAACAAACAAACAGCATCAACAAATAAAAGATGCTAACTACGCTAAGCGTTCTGATCCGTCTGCCAGTCGCCGATTTCAGTCGCAACGGACTCCTCATCTGAGTAAACGTTCTGCTCTTCCAACAGTCACCGAAACTTTGTCAGTATACGGAGAGTGAGAGTTTGGATTGTGCGTCAGCCAGTGCCGGTTACAAACTAACAATCAACATAACTAATTAACTGCGCTCACCTTATGACTTCAAAGATGTGGCTGAGTCTCTCCGATGTTTCCTCCTCTAACCGTCTTGCCTATGCACTGCTCTTTCACCTGTCAACCTAGAGCAAGCAGTGGTGCTGGGCGGGGCACAAAACCTAATCCAAATTTCTCAATGAGGAAGTAAGAGTAGATGTGCTTACTGCCTCAGTTTTTAAAAAAAAATTATTTTCACTTTAATGTGGGAAAATCACGTTAAACTAAACTATAAATCATGACAGAGTATTTCTGATATAGTTTAAAACATGTCTGGAGAGGATCTTTAAAAGTGTTCACTGTACGCTTTAATTGGACAAAGCCGTTTATAGCTTCCTGTGGTTTGCTCAATTAGCTGCAGCAAGTAGCACAGAAAGACTGCAGTCGAGCCCTGTGGGTGGAATCATAATGCCAAGACAAAAATGGGTCCCTGTTTGGAGATTTGGTGCACAGAACAACAAATATTACATGTGAGTTATGACTCTGCTGTTGCACCCGTCAGCACTTCTCTGCTTAGGATTGCACGGGAAGCCATACGTGCTACACAATGATTGCATCGTTTTCCTGCACAGTTCCATTATGCAACATGTTTTTTTAATTTTCAAAATCATGGATTTACATTGAGTGAACATCCTGCCTCCATAACCACCATGCTGCATTTTCAGCCCCGGTGCTGTGTTTTGCTTTGTCATTTTGAACGTGCACTGAAAAAAAAAAAATACTACAGTCGTATTAACGCTGTGCTGTAAAAGTTATTTATTTCTAACCTTTTCTGATATGTGCTGCACTATCTCTTTAGCACGATCGCCGCAGGGGACTGATTCTTATCCTCGGTAACCACACACCACTGCACGTCTATTGCCTAATTAAGCTTTCATTTTCCAAGTGTGGGGAAATTAGTGCCATTATAAAAGAACAAGTGTTTAATACATAAAGAGTTGCGATGGAAATTTCCTCTCTAATACAAAACGCTTGCGAGTTGAAATGCAAAACACTCACAAGTCGCAAACAAAATGCAGAAGGAGGGATGCGTGTGTGTTTTTAATGCGTCTGTAGATGATGTCTTTCACCACACAGAGTGACGAGGTCTGTGTTTACAAACAGCGCTCATATGCAGTATCTACAATTTCTGTTCATTTCCAGCCTTTTGCACTGTGATTGACATCTTAGCGCTTCTTTTTTTTTCTTCGTTTTCTCCTACACCTCTGGCATCTCCCAAAGAAAGGCCCAAATTAAGGGTTATTATTGTTGCCTTGGCAACCTACTGGGTAATTTTGTGTAATTTTCCAAGAGGGATTGCTATTGACGGTGGAGTCCATGTCTAGATGCAGTACACCACAAGAAAACACCTATAAACACAGAAATGAAATGTTTCTCTCTCTGTGAAGGAGAAGAAGCTGAAAGATGCTGATTTCCACCTGAGTACGTTCTGTTTCCACTCGGCCTTTAAATGCTGTGTGATTTCCTGGCATTGTCTGAAAACATAAGGGGATGTACTTAATTTGTAGATGATTTGTAAGTCTTTAATATTTACCGCGCTTAGTCATCACGGCGTAGATTTAAAACCCTCCTCACAAAATGTACATTCTCTGCACGGGCACGATTCTCACCTCCCACTAAGCTGCCTCAGAAAGATAAGCCGCTAGAGATTGACAGAATTACTTTCAGCATCCCCCTTTTCTCACTGTGAAATCTGGTGATCAAAACATTTTCATCCTCTGCTGTTTCTTCTGTGAAATTCTTCGTATCTAAGATTGCCCCAGATTCCGGCACATTGTGTAAGCCGAGCTATAAGTGCTGACTCATGTTGAGGTTTTTGCTCATTGTTTTTCCGCTCTTTGTGGCTTTTCTCTGTCGCAGCTTTGCAACGGTGGCTCAGTGACGGATCTGGCCAAAGGCATGCTGAGGAGAGGAGACAGGATGGATGAAGCCATCATTGCCTATATCTTGCGTGAGGCCCTCATGGTAAGTCAGGAGGAGAGACAGTGCTTCAATGAAAACAGGCTAAAGGAGCTATTTGTAAGTTTTGCCATCGCTACACAGCCGGCGTTAGCATTAACAGTTGCACCGAGAGCAACGCCAGTGTTAACTCTTGTCTCTATCACTTCTTTTCTCTCACTGAAGTTAGCATGCTAACCAGCTAGCCCCCTCCAATCTGCCCTGAAGACGCAGCGCAGCTCAGAGGGGCGTACGTATTATAACCCCTTGTGTTGTAAACGCAACAATGGCTGAAGCTCTAGTCAAGCAACAATCACCACCACCACCACCCCCCCACCCCCCACCCCCCCTGGCAGGAAACCACATTTGGCGGCAGAGAAAATTTCCAAATAGCTCCTTTTTAAACGAGATAATTTTAGAGGCAGGTGCTTGCCAGAAAAAGCTGTTAACCCCCACCTCCCCCTTTTTTCTTTTTCCCCAAAGGGCCTCCAACACCTGCACATCAACAAGACCATCCACCGTGACGTCAAAGGCAATAACATCCTGCTGACGACGCACGGAGGGATCAAACTTGTGGATTTCGGTAGGCGATGTGTCATCTTAAAGATGTGCTTTAACATCGTGTCTTTTTTTCAGCACCGTCCTCGTCTAATCAGTGAAAATCATGTTATGGCTGTTTAACAGAAGAGGGTCAAATCCATTTACCTTCAGCCGCTTGCCAAATATATTGTGCCACTAATTAGTTTCCTCGAGAGGTTGGAATACATTTACACAACCCGACAAGGTGGCGGACGATTATACTTTTCCATTTCACCCTATCTTTTCCATTCTGCCGCAGACGGCAGAGGACATTGTTGCTATTCATCGTGTGTTTGCCCTGATTTGCTTTTGGGTTTTCTTAACCAAATGAGGCGTTCAGAGCGGCGCAACATAGTTCCTGGATTGAAGGCTCATGATAGGCAAAGTGATTCTGACTATTTCCAGGGGGATGACTCACCCCCCTCCCCCCAGGTTTCTTCAGTTGCCTGTTTTCATTACAAATAAAATCCCCACTCATGTGTATTTGTGTGTGTGTGTGTGTGTGTGTAGGTTTGCATTTAGTCTGCTAATTGCGGGCTTCTCTTAAAAGCCTTTTCTAACCATGAAGCACAAAAGTGAAGTGCACAGCTCTTATATAGGGAGGAGGATGAGGGAGGGGGGGGGCATTAATGGAATCACTTAATATGTGAATGTGAAGTTGCTAATATGGAGCCGGGCCACCTTTTGCTTTCCATTCTCACAAGACTGTCACATAGAGATTCTCGACCCCTGTTTATTGCACCAGTTTTTAAAGAGTAAAGCCCCGAGGTCTTTACGGAGGAAGACGTTAGAGATGTAATTCAAAATGTTTTCTTAAATGTTTAGTCTACTTCCTGTGAAGCTGAATACGTGGCCTTGAATCTAAGGTCAAATGTGAAAATATGAAGATGTGAAGACTTTAAGAATAAAATGTAAAGACTCTTACATACCCACGTTAAACACAATATCTGAGCAAGTATAGTTCGTCAAACGAGGATACAAGATAAGTTTAGACGTTATACAGTTCTGAGCTTGTTTAGCATAACTGTGCTCAAACACATCTGAATAATTGAACATATTATGTAACCAATGGTCACCGCCGCACTGGAGAGCAAACACACCGGTGATGTGGAGACACAGGCTTCACCCACACACCCACACACACACACACACACACACACACACGTTTAGTGTAACTTTTACATTAGTATTTTGTTAGAAGTGGTATTCAGTGATGATTATAATGATTATTTATTAAATGTTTTTGAAGTTTGAAAAGATGCCTACCATCTTTTCCCGGTAACAAAGTAAACAAGTAAAAAAATGTGTGTATAAAAACGGCAAACAAAGAGAAACTTTGACTATGGTAAGTTTCAAGTGCGAAAAGGTCTCACAGAAGTTATTGCACACATGAGTCTATTCATTTCAGGTGATTGGAAACCAGGCATCACAAACAACATCTCACCTTTTTATTTCCTGCAATCTAGTGATTCTTGTTTACTTCAGAACATCTTATCAAGCATCTGCAGTTTTCTGCGGCTAAACTTGTAATGAATAGATATGAAAGATAGAAAAAAAAGGTACAGTGTCTGTGGAAAGAATTTATTACATGTAAACATTGTTGGTGAAGTGGAAGCTCAAACCCTCTCTGTTACCCCACGTCGTGTTGATCCAAGCTGAAATATCTCAACAGCTACTGGATGGATTCTCATGAAATTTTGTACGGACATTCATGGCCCCCAGAGGACGACTCATACTCACTTTGGCGTTCCTCTGATTTTTCCTCTAGCAACAACATGTGATTCACATTTGAGGTTTTGAACAAAACACGTCTCAAAATTTAAAAAATTGGCAAACATTAGCATGCTAACACGCTAAAGTAAAATGATAAACATGATAATTATTTAACCTGCTAAACATCAACATGTTAGCTATGTCATTGTGAACATGTTAGCATGCCGATCTTAGCATTTAGCCTGCAGTAAAAGCGTCACAGAGCTTCTTGCATGGCTGTCAGTTCTGATTTGTACTACAAAATAGTAAAATGATGCATGCAGCACACACAGTATGTAACCTGCATTTAAATGCAGAAATTTGAATTTCTCAGCTTTCTGTGACTCTTAAATAAATGTCATGTCAGTCACCTGAAACCAAGGTGGCAGCAAACTGGAGCAGATCAGACGTGGACTCCTGTGTAATCATTGGCCGGTGAAGTGTTCGCCTGCTTTAGAATTTGGCAGCACTGAAAGAGCAAAGGTCCGTCCTGGAGTCTGTGTCAGCTCGTGTGCAGAGCGGGAGAACCGCAGGCGCAAAAGATGGCTGCAAGTCTGTACCAGAGTTTGTACCAGATACGTTATGACATCATCAAAAAAGGAAAGAAAGCAGTTTAGAAATAAGCCCAACTTGTGTAAAAGCTTGCAGAGTGACGAAGAAGGGTTAGAAAAAAAAAAAAAAAAATTGCCCGACTCGTGCCTTCCTCGGCGCTACACGCAGGCACTGCGTCACGCTGGGATTAATGGTTTTTCATGTGGAGGGGCGCACGCTACACTAAGCAGCTGAGGAGATAAAACCCCCGCAGTGACTCATCACCAGCAGAGAAACAAAATAGCAAAGAGATGGACCCAAAAAAGAGCGGCGGAAGAATGAGAGGAGCCGCTCGTTCATGGGTCTCTCATGAATATTCTAATTGACAGCGTTATCTCTGTGATGATTATTAAGTGTGGCCCACCAGGCTCCACTCGGGGCTAATGTAGTGGAAAGAGAGGGGCAGTGAGAGCTTTAATAGGGGGCTCTTTATTTCTGTATCCTCACCATAATATATTGGAGAAGACGTGTGTATGTGTGTGTGTGTGTGTGTGTGTAAAACCATAAGTTTGATCAGATCATTGTAGGTTTTCCTTGGCAGTTTGGTTTCCTGTTTCTTTGTATAAACACCTGCATCCAAGCAGAACTATGGGTTTGTGTTACTGTGTAGTGGTTTGGTGACGTGTGATCATGCGAGTGTGGTTGTGTGTGTGTGTGTGTGTGTGTGTGTGTGTGTGTGTGTGTGTGTCTGTGTCAGCCTTATGCATATATCCCCACCTGCACATGATTCTAATCCCTTTTGATGATTTGTCACAGAACCGTTTTTCCTCTGCATTGGCGTTTCTCTCCGCCCCTGGCTTTAAACCCACCAGCACCAACAGAGAGTCATTGTGTTTACTGTACCGACAGCGATGCACAGCTTTTTTTTTGCAAGAAACAAGTTTGCTGACGCTGTTGTTGTGCACACGTCTGCACACGTTTCACGTTTTGAACACATTTCACACGAGCGACCTCTTCGTTCCCTCTCGGTTCTTATGCTGCACGTCTGAAACATCTTCCGCAGAGTTAAATTCTGCACAAACTCTACACTCCAGATTCATAAGACAGTGCTCTCTGCGGCTGCGTGCCCTGCATCAGCGGATCACCTTTTATTTGTTGGTGGCCGCTTTTGTCCAGAGGCTGTGCTTTTTTTTTTTTTTTTTTTTTTTTTTGTTTTGTCCTGGCCGGCTGCTTCGGCTGAGCCAGCCCCGGGACACATCGCAGCGTGGCGTAACGCTGATTTGTCTGGACTGGACTGAAGTCACGATTGTGGGTCAGCGTGTTCCTTGTCAGGCTTTTTACTGCACACATACGGACACACATGCCCTCTCTCTCTCTCTCTGTCTCTCTCTCTCTCTCTCTCTGCAGTCCCATTTCTGCTGAATACATCCACCTCCGCCTTGACTGTCGGAGGGATGACTCTGTCCTCTTGTTATATAGGCAGATAAAGCTAACATGGAGCTAATAAATCATATAATATCTTGTTCTGAGAGTGGGTGAAATGTCGTCTCCAGCTGCCACAGCCTGTTTACAGTTGAATTGTATTCAAATCTTGTTCTTGAAATGCCCAGCAAACCTACATCCCCTGCAGTGACACAAGAATTTGTAATTCAAAGCGATCTATCATTTGTAGGAGAGAAAAAAGAAAAGCATAGCAGCTTGATGTTGCTGTGTGCATGTGTGTGTTTTGTTTTTTCTCCTTGTCAGTATAGTGACAGCTCTATCAGAGGCATACGAGATCCACTCAGCCCCATATCAGCTGAGCAGCACCCTTCTGTTTACTGTTTCCCTTTGCACAGCCAGTGTGATGTTTGAGAGAAGAAAAAAAAAAACACATGTAAAGGAAGTTATTGAGATAGTGTAAATTGTCCGCACTGGATCCTGCGAGAGGCTAAAATGGCTGAACTGTGAATTCTCCTCCCTGCAGGTGTTTCTGCTCAGCTGACGAACACCCGTCTGAGGAGGAACACCTCCGTTGGAACTCCCTTCTGGATGGCTCCTGAGGTACAGTAAAAAAAAATAAAAACGGCCTATAAACGCTCCCGCAGCCTGCTCCCTTTCCACTACATTAGCCTGGAGCAGATCCCGGCGGGCCACAGTTAATAATCATCGAAGAGATAACACTGTCAAATAGGATGTTCGTGAGAAAATGGAATGGGCAGCCTCCATCATTCATCTCCTATCTAATCATGGCTCGCTGCACCGGCACTGCATAGAGCCTCTAAAATAGTACACATCAGGAAGTGATCATTCATACCAGTACACAGTCACATCCCGTTATCCTTTACTTTTTTATGGTAGGTTAACTTTTTCAACTGCGTTGTATAAGGGATGATATAAAGTGAGGTGGTCCCTCGCTCTCTGTTGTCTCACTTCAGGTTTACAACAGGGACGTAGTTGCATTTGTTGCCTCATTTTCTACAAACATGGTCCAGTATTTATTTTACAAAATGTCCAAACACGTCCGTATAAGTCTGAATTAAAAACTCTGTACTAGTATTACACAGAATTACACAGCTGAAGATCCTAAAGCAGATTTACATCCAGTGCCGGTGTTTATTTCCACTGCAAGCAGAAGTGTGAGCTTCTGCATATGTGAAATAATATCTTCTGTGGCTCCAAAATGATCTGCGGAAGTCTAATAAACAGTCAGCTAGAGGACCGAAAACAACAATTTGAAATTTGTAGTTGTAAAAGTAAGTTGTAAAGAAATCTGTATCATCCATTATCAACATTTTGTCTGACCGTCAGGTGATTAAAACAATATTTTAAAGATAATTCATGGACTCACGAGCAATGAAAGAAGCCCACAAAGCCAATAACAACTGAACCGACAGCCGAACTTGCCTGATGTCTCGGCTGTGTAGTGAAATGATTAAATGTGAACACATAGCGCGATCCCATCTGCAACCTCGACGCTGATCAAGATTACATTGTAGGGATAACTGGTAACTTTACACTCTTCTACACAGCTACACTCTGTATCCATTGCACCTGCACCAGTTTTGAATGTACGACCTCCCTGCAGTAAATAACCTTCACTGGTCCAATCAAAATGGACATTTTTACATGAGCTTTGCATTGTGTGCAAATTTCGCGCTTTTAGAATAAACGCAGCGTGACGTGTTCAGGACACAAGGACCTGGAGGATTTTAATGTCATTTGTGTAAGATGTTCTTCATTAAAGAGTTGTGAGAACGAGACGAGTCTCGGCTGGACTCTAGACTATAAAGTCTTCGGTTCCGGAGGCTTTTTCATGTCGGGAGTGAGATCTGTAAACAATTATCTACGGTGTTGTTATTTCTGCTATTTCTTTTTGAGAGGTTCTTTGTGAACACAGAGACTTGAAGACTGGATAATAAACAGCACTGGATTAAAAAACAGACACGGTCTCACCTTCTTGCTAAAGAAGATTTGGTTATGTAACTTTGAGTTGAGGGGTAAGTTGAGTCATATACAATTATACAATATACATATACAATATATTTTTTTAGGTATATCGAATGGTTACACGTTGATGATTTAGGCTGTTATAGTGTATATTTGTCTTTTCTTGAAACATTTTACCACAATTTAAAGTTACTTTTCTTTTCGCCTGATATCATGACGACGACTGAATTTCTTTGTTATCATACATACATTGACAAAATAGTGACAGACTTTTCATTTTGTCTTCGTGTGTGTGTGTGTGTGTGTGTGTGTGTGTGTGTGTGTACTTGTGTATTACGATATTAGGATGTTGTATTCGTGATCTGGTAATGATTTTTTTCTGCTTGTCTTGTCTACGTACATAAATACATGCCCACTGAGAATACTGAGAATTGGCAACACAAACTATATTGATTTCAGACATTTGACACTAATAGTGTGTGTGCGTGTGTGTCTGTGTGTGTGTATGTGCATGTGCATGTGTATGTGCACATGCCACCCACTCAGATGAGTCATATTGTTGATTGGGTGCCATGTTGCCCTGAGGACATTGATGATAGACTGTGTGTGTGTGTGTGTGTGTGTGTGTGTGTGTGTGTGTGTGTGTCTTTGCTGTATTGCCTGCAGCAGATGATGTGTAGACTCCACCTCTGTTATAATCGGTGTCTTTGATATTGGACAACTCCATAAATGACATTTTGCACTGTTACATGCTTCTTTACTTTAGTGTGTGTGTGTGTGTGTGTGTGTGTGTGTGTGTGTGTGTGTGTGTGTGTGTGTGTGTGTGTGTGTGTGTGTGTGTGCAAAGGCAGACAAAATAACAAAATCCAATAACAATACATGAATATTGACTCCCTCGTGGGGAATTAGGCCCCAAACTTCACAACTTTAGTCGTCACTCCGTAGAAATCCAGGAGTCTGCTGAGTACAACAGGACAACAGGACAACAGGCCTTTCATCTCAGCGTCTGATCTTCTGCTGGTTTAGAGATGAAGGAAATAGAGATTTTCTTAACACAGTGAGCTCCAAAAACAAAGGTGTAATAATGTTTTGATCTGATAATTGGTGAAGCCATTGAGGGCAAAGGGATTAATGGATGTTGTAACCCCCAAGACAATTCACAGAGGTGTTTGCTGATGGTTAACTTTGTGCTTTTGAAAACAGTTTTTGTCGGTGCTGTCACAGTTGTGTTACTTACTGGCCTTAATTTGACAATTAACAGAATTGTAATTGGCGTCTTACTCAACATTTATCGATCTGTGCTCCAGGTAATAGCGTGCGAGCAGCAGCTGGACTCCACCTACGATGCCCGTTGTGACGTTTGGTCCCTGGGCATCACTGCCATAGAGCTGGGAGATGGAGACCCGCCGCTCTCCGACCTCCACCCGATGAGAGCCCTTTTCAAAATACCCAGGTGAGCCGCCATCGCACCTACAACAACCTGCCATCATCGTTAAGAGAGTTTGACCCCCCCAGCACTGTCATTGATCTTTAAATACAGGTTTATACTACTTGACAACACATAATTGAACATTTATTTTCATTTATTACTAACCAGATGTATTTCCTATCTTTATATTGAGACGGATGATTGATGAGACTGAAGGTGAGATATTCCACGTCAGCATCTACGTACAAGCTTTCTTTCAGCAGCAGAGCTAAAACAAGTGATTATAGACACTGATAATAAAAAATAAAAAAAACCTCAGACAGCGGCGGGTGTGTTTTCATTACATCCCTCCTCTGCAGGCAGAGAGGAGGGTAAAGACAGGGTAATTCAGTGCTTGTACTGCAATCCAGAAAAGCCATCTCCTGCTCCCCAATGCAGTGATTCGCTTCTCTATACAGACTGTCACCACACAAAGTACTGTCCTTTCATTTCAAATGGATTTTTTTTTTTTTTGCTGGCAGGGGCTTATCCGTAAGCCCCTCCCCTCCTGGCACTGATCCCATTCGTCCTGGGTTTAGGGGGGTGAAGGAGGGAGGGGTGAGGGAGGGAGGGGGTGAGAGTACAGCCACCCCTCTTCTCATCTGTGTGTATTGTTGTGGGCTGAAGGTGAAATATAATTGTTTGTCGTCTCCTGATTCCAGTGTGCGAGCCGCATAAGCACTTACCGCCACTGTCATCTTAACGGCACAGCACTTTGTCCGTCACTGCACGGTGTGTGTGTGTGTCTGTGTGTGTGTGCGCCTGACACACACAGACACATACACACACAAAAACAGCTCCTGTGTCATAGCTGTCCTGTGTGTTTGCTCCGGGGTCGTGCTCCACAGGAGCCATCACACAGCCTTCCCTGAATCTATGTGACTGCTGTAGCCAGAGCTTCAGGCTCACTGTTCACACTCCTCACTTCCCACCTCTCTCTCTCTCTCACTCTCACTCTCTCTCTCTCTCTCAGGAAAGAGACATGATGAAGGCAGCGATTCCACCACACCTTGTCTTATTTAATTCAGGCTGGCCGAATAGAAACTGAGGATCATCACAGGAAAAACCCTCATTTTGATGTGGTCTTTAAAATGCCCAAATACATTTGATTTCCGTCGGCGCTGTGAATTGAATTTTACCATATATACAGATACAGATATGCTCAATACAACACCGTATACTGTAAAGCAATCTAATATGGTGTGATACAATCCCATACATTGTTCCTGCTGGAAAAAAAACATCACAAGTTTGAGCGTGTGGCGGAGTTTGCCATCTCTCTGACACAGTGTCATGAAAAGCATCTTTATTAGCTGAATTAGCAAGCCTTAGCATTATTTTGAGCCTGATGTTTCCAGGTCTTATGTCAACCTGAACTGTGGTGGACAGGACTGCAGGTGAATCACAGACAAATATAAAGACAGAAACAGAGAAAGGCAGGGACGACAGTGTCGCACTCTGGAGCAGGTTAAAGATTAATTTTCCTCGTTATGCACATGTAAAGTAGTGAGCTCTTATCCTTCATTATGTGCAACAGAGAAGATTTGCATTTGCCTCGGGTAAAGTGAATTTATGACAGGTGGGCAAACACAAAATTTACTTGGATATCATAATTGATATATGTCCTCATATTTGTATCCAGGGAATTAAAAACTTAAAAAAAACAAAATAGTTGTACAATTTAAGTTGCTCATGCATTTGCCGTCTGTATTGGTCGTGTTGTGTGATTAAAAAGGAGATGTATGGCCTCTCATTAGAACAATTTATTGCTGTCAGAGGCGGCGTGAAAAAGGCCCTGGTGCGTCAGCAGGCGGCATTGACTTCCCTACCACTTGCCAGGAACGCTGTTGTAAAGAGGTTTACAGTAGACAAGGAGTTATAGCAAATTAGCTGAGTTGTTCCCCAGCTGTGAGGCCTTGTTACTGTTGACCTCTTAACCCAGAGTGTGTCTTTTGAATGTGATTTTGACAGGAGAAGACGCCTCCAGCTTATAAGATCCGGTTCCATGTTTTCGTATCGAATGTTGCCGACTGTTGCTTTCTGCCTCGTGCCATCGCAGAAAACATCTCTGGATGTGTTTCAATTACTGATGGTTCCAGTGTTAATATTTCACTCCATTGTTCCACTCTGCACCTCGGCCTTTTGTTCTCTCTGGCCGCTGCCGTGTAAAATCTCATTGAATCTTATCACTCCATTTATCTCTCCCCCCCCCGTTCCTTTCCTTTAAACAGAAACCCTCCGCCTACTCTCCACCAGCCGGAGCTCTGGTCAGACGACTTTAATGACTTCATCTGCAAGTGAGTGTGGAGGCCAGTGTGTTTTGTTACGCCTGGGTGAATAATAAATAATTCCACTGATAGAACATAACCATACGCTTTGAATATAAATCCGAGAAATGCATTTCCTCCCCCCCCCCTCCCCCCTCCCCTAACAGATGTCTGATTAAGGACTTCGAGCTGAGACCAAACGTGCTAGACCTGCTCCAGCATGTGTTCATCAAACAGACTGTCGGCAGAGAGAAAATACTGCAGAAGCAATTGATTGAACTCATTGATCTCAACCAACAAATAGGAGTCATTGAAAAAACAAGGTACCTTCCTATCTGTACGCGTGTCCCCCCCCCGATGTCTCTCACATTTCCACGTATGTTTTGTGACACGGCGGAAGTCGTGCAGAAAGTGTTCGATAGCAAAAAAAGAACAAAAACTTCTTCCCTGTCAGAGGGTTGTCTTTGCAGGGCTGCAGCTTAACTTTTGCAGGCAGTGTAATCCAAATTAACCCCCCCACCCCCCACCCCCACCCCTCGCTGGATGCTTTACAAGCCCTGTCACCCTCACATAAACAACTGCTCAATCCTGCTCCGGCTTCACTTGACATGGAGGCTGGCGACGTGAGTCACATGAGCCAAGACACGTTGGCCCAGAAAAGTGTTTCACCCAGTACAGTCATGAAATGTTAATCCTATTTCTGTCGTTTTAAGCCATCATGGAAAGACAGACAGAGGCACAGACAGTAATGACAGGTAACACATGCATATATATGACCTTTAAGCCTCAGTAGGAGTAGATGCTAACTGGCTTTTTTTTTTTGTTGTTGTAGTGTTGCTCTTGTCTCAGCCAGAGCTCTTGTTGTAGTTGTGAAGGCACATGTACTTGCGTTCAGCTACATGAGCTGGTTTTAGATTGTTTACATGCTGCCATTGTTTACGTTGTCGTCTGTTTTACGTTGTTATATCTATTTCCTGTGTTTTCTGTAACGTCCTGTCATTGTAGGACCACGACACCAAACCTAGCGCAGTCGATGAGCTCCGAAACCTCACCGACGTTTGTTATTAACTCTCAAGACAAATGGCGTTTTAGCGGAGATTAATTGCAGTCATCATCAGCTAAATAATGATAAATCCTTTCGGATGTGGCTGGTAATCAGATGTAATCATACATTTCTGACACATAATGTGAGGAAACTGATTTATTCATAGTGGTGCATTTTGATACGTCCAGACTTCTTTTAGCTTGTATTTAAAGTGATTTATCACAGTGAACAGATATCAGTCCGTAAAGTTCAGGAGTCATGTCTGTAGGAGTAAATATTTAAAATGGTACAATTTCCCCTATAATTTACAGTTTCATGCAAAAATAAACATCAATCTCAAGGTGTAGGGAGCAAAGGGAGGATGGAGGGCGGAGTGAGCTGCATACTGATGCCCCTTTTATTTTCACCATTTATGTTACAGCGTATTATATTTACATGTAAATCTTTTATCTAGTTGAAGGTGTGATTACATTTACATTATTTAAGGTTTGTTTAAAATGAAGAGATGCTCTTCTTTGCCTTAGCGAATAACAGCGGCAGGACTGTGGTATGTTTTCATGATGTACTGAATTTGAATATAGATTACCGATATAGTCGCGTACATTACTGCTTTAGTAAAAGACTTGGTTGTGCGACCTGTTCCAGGCATGAGCGCATCCACACTAAAAAAGGAAGCCACATGAAGACACAGACTGACCCCGACGAGGTGGACGACCTCGCCACCCTGGAAGTGCTAGATGAGGTGAGGAAGTCCAAACTCTGATTGTTTTTTATTTATTTTTTGTTTTCTCTGATGATGATTGACATAAATACACATCTCAATAACAAACAACAAAATAATGAGATTTGAAGTTCAGTTTTCGAAATAATCTCACCATGAGGTTTTTTTTTTTTTTTGTGTAGCTTTTCTGGAGCTTTCTACGATATTACATGAGCTTCCTCGGCAGATGGAGTTTCAAAGCTGAGGTTCATAGTTTGTCCTTTAAGCCAACAACAGCTCTGAAAAATGAAAATATCAACATAAGCATTGTAGTGTGAAACAATCAAAAGCTCCAGAACAGCTACTAAATGGACCATGTGGTGAGATTGTTTTGACAACTGTTTATTTGTTTTTAAATATACCATAACAACGACATGTACTACATCTGAAACAGATCTATGATATCCTGTAAAAACTCGTTATTACATTGTTCAAAACACATTTTCATGCATTTTACAGAGATATTTTGTGATTTATAGTCACATAAATTCAGAATTATTACATATATATGGTGATTTCTTTCCCTCCCTCCGTTAACTACAACGATCAACCCTGTTGGTCTGTTGATGAAGCACAGTGAGAAATGCACAGTGGCATCTTTTGCCCAAATAACACCGAGAGCAATCCATCAAACGTGAGCGCCGCATTGACGTATTGAACGATACAACCGGCCTCAGTTTGCCGGCGGATATTTCCACCCATCCTTCAAGATGAGCAGCTCTGCCGGTACGAGGGAGGCTGTGCCGCCCCGCTGCCGGTGATGTACCCGTCCCGGCAGCGCGGAGACAGGAGGATTAATCACCGCGTGACACGAAGATAATACATTGACGTAACAGGCGTCACAGGCCTTGACTTGAGGCAGGACATAAGCTAAAGGACTGCTTGGTTGTAATAATGATTGTAATGCAGTTATCTCCCTATAATGAGACATCTAGGCAGGAATAAGTAGCTGGAAACATGACATACCTGAAAATCAAGGTTTCTTTTTTCCCCCCAGAATACCGTCACGGAGCAGCTTCAGAGTCGCTATGGAAAAGACCAGATTTACACATATGTGGGAGACATCCTCATCGCAGTCAATCCTTTCCATAAGATGGAGATATATGCTCCTCAGGTCTGTGGGTTGTTTGTTTGTTTTGTTTGTTTTTCTTTACGCACGTGTGCTCGTAATACATTTGGTCAATAATGCACCGAATGTAGCCCAGCGTATCTCATTAGCGCCTCTGCAGTTCTTCAGTCTGCTGCATCCCATTTAACTGCACCTTCACACACACACACACACACACACACACACACACACACTGCCCCTGTTTCTCTGCCTCTTCCATAGCTCACTGACTGTATTTTCCTCTCAATCATCACGTTTGTCTTTGCCTCAAGTTTGTCGCTATTTTTCATTCCTCTCCTCCCAGAGCAAAAATATAATGTATGACAGTTTTCACAGGTGGAAAACGTTCATTTTTATTCTAAATAACATCTACCGTATGTCATCCATTACATTCTTGTGCATGTTTTAAATACGTCTTTTTCTTTTTGTTGTCAACGCTCCTCTCTCTCTCTGTAGCACACTAAGATGTACATAGGAGCTAAGCGTACGGCTAACCCGCCGCACATCTTTGCTGTGGCTGATGTGGCCTACCAGTCCATGGTGTCATACAACACAGACCAGGTAAATGTTGTGCTCATTTCATCACACACGACACAAGTATTATATTGTCATTGCGACATTGTCCTGAGGGCAGAAAGTTGCTTTTATTTCCGCTTGTTTTGGAGTCAGATTATCAAGATTTCTCCATTAACGGGGTGGAATTATTGTTATTAGTAGTTTCATGGTAATCTCTGTGACTTCCTGTGTGCAGTGTATTGTGATCAGCGGAGAAAGTGGAGCCGGGAAAACGGAGAGTGCTCATCTGTTAGTGCAGCAGCTGACTGTTCTTGGGAAGGTGAGTTATAATGGTCCAATAAACACAACATCACATTGACATGTCCTTCCCATTCCCATTTATTCTTCGTTTCACAAAGTTTTGCCTGAGGTTGCAAATGTTTTTTCAATTTACGAAAAGCTATCAAACCAAACCAAATATAAACATCAGGAAGGCAGTGAAATAATATTGTAAATAAAAGGGTAAACAATGAAAACTGTTTACTGTTCAAAGAAATGACAAGAAATTAGAAATCACAGTTTTAAACTTGGCAACAGCGGTGTCCTCCAAATTCAACATCCTGTTATCAGTTTGTTTGAAGCTCCAGCTGGTGCCAGTCATGATTTGCGACTTCACTGAAAAGAAATTTCCATTTCAGTTCAATTCGCTTTTTTATAAGTGGAATAGTAAAATAAACGATTGGCAGTGCCACTTTTGATGGGAACAACATGAATAGAAAAGGCAGACGACAGAATTTCATGCATCATTTCATGACAAAAGCACGATCACCTCCGCTGCTATTGATTTCCCCCGTTACCTAAACCGGTACTGCGTTTCATTTCAGGCCAATAATCGGACGCTGCAGGAGAAGATCCTGCTGGTCAACAACCTGGTGGAGGCGTTCGGAAACGCCTGCACGGTCATCAATGACAACTCCAGCCGCTTCGGCAAGTACCTGGAGATGAAGTTCACCTGCGGGGGAACGGTGGTGGGAGCGCAGATATCTGAGTATCTGCTGGAGAAATCCAGAGTCATCCACCAGGCCGTGTAAATATCACTTCCTTCTTTTTGTTTCTAATGTAAGAAACCTCATGACGCTCATTGCTGTCATTTCACAGTGACATTCATAGATATGTAAATCACGTCTCTTCTTGTTCTGTGAAAGAACATTGAGGTTATTTTCCCCGCTCGCTGTCAGGGGATCAGTGCGTAATGGACTCTGTCTCTCTTCCTTTCACCTCTGCCTCTCCATCTCAAACTGGTGGCATTTGCCTTCAACCCAGCACTTTCATTCAATCCACCTTTTCTTCTTATCGTGTGTCTGGGGAGCGGACCGGGGGTCAAGTGGAGGGGCTAGCTTATTTCCTGTTTGATCAAAGATTGCGGTCTTGCGAGTGTCCTTACTGGAACTTCAAAGGCAGACTCAAGTATTTCATTAGAGACCAGACGCATGGGTCAGACAGGCTGAAAACACGGTGTGTAGCTGCACTTTTCTTCAGCCTGTTAGATACTAATTGTTGAGAACAGCAAACAAGACGGATCCACATTCATTCAAAAATCGTACTTCAAAAGATTCGTTCATAATTCCCTTCCTCAGGGATGTTTTCAGATTTGTGAGGAGGATAGTAACCAGAATGCACATATAAAATACTAAACACATGACATTGTAGCTTATGACTGTGAAAACTTGAGCCACTAAACTGACAAAATGTGGCAAAAGTTTCTTAGAAAAATCAAAAATATGATTTATTATTTTATGAAATGTCAATATCAACACATCCAAAAATAATATCGCCGTGATGTGATCTAGCTAGCATAATTATTTACCTAACAAAGGACCGGTCTGTTAACTGTTCACTACATTTAGTCACTTTTTGGCCTCCGTAGGTTACGACCAGTAAAAACTACTAGTAACTATTGAGCCTTGTCAGACGTCTGCAGTCATACATGTCATACATTAGCAAAACAGGTGACATCAAACGAGTAACACGCTAACAAAGTCACATTTATCAGTCTTATGCTTTTACGCTTTCTGAGCTACGTCTGTGTGTGTGTGTGTGTGTGTGTGTGTGTGTGTGTGTGTGTGTGTGTGTGTGTGTGTCTCGACAGAGGGGAGAGGAACTTCCACATCTTCTACTACATTTACGCCGGCCTGGCTGACAGGAAGAAGCTAGCCCACTACAAGCTCTCCGACAGCAAAACACCTAAGTAGGTTTGCCATTTCTCGGCCCCACGCTGTTATTGCCAACACCTCCCCCCCCCGATCCTGATCTTTGCTTCCTCTTTGTACTGCAGGTATCTGTGTAACGAGCACGTTAAATTAGGGCCTGACATAGTGAGCAACACCTTCTACAAGGAGCAGTTTGATGCAGTGGAGCAGTGTTTCAAAGTCATTGGATTCACCCTGGAGGTACAAACGACTGCATCAGTCACTGGGCAAAAAGCTGAAAGTGTCTCGACCACGATAACCTTGATCCTAACATTCATACAGACATGATCTCTACACTCCTGTATTATACCTGTAATGTATGAAAGTCAGTGTTTAAAAATCCACAAAATAAGCTTTAAAACTAGTGTATAGGTGGTTTTCTATAGGTGTCTTCTGATAGGGAACGGAGCTACAGAGGCACATGTTAGGCAGTCAGCTGTTGGCATTGTGAAGGCTAATGAGGCCCTAAGAGCTGATTGCCTCTGGGATCTGCACGTCAGTAGCACTTATCCTGTAATCGCTTGGCACCGAAGGAGGAACAGCCTCCTTTTCTATAGTACGTCCTGTCTTGCATGAAATCACAGAATGTGTACTAAGATTATGAAGATTATCTTTGAGGCACTTTTATCTATTTCGACACAGTTTCGAGACACAAACTGCCGCATTAGGAGCTTTTTTATTAGAAGCACTATTTCCAACAGGTTTTATTTTTATTTCCTAAACTAAAAGTAGCTTCTTACTGTATTTTGTTGTCATTTTTTGGTGATGTGATGATTTTTAAACGTCTGTTTTTGTAAATTGAATTAAGACTCGTTAAATGGCGCTGTGTTTGTTGGACATTTAGCTATAGAAGCTAACGCTGCTCATGCTATTTCTGTGGCTGCTAACAAAACATGACATCCTGAGCACAGAAAGGACATTTGGTTTGACAACGGAAAATGTAATTTAAAAAGCAAAAGTCAGAACACAAACTGTGCACAAAAGTTAGTAAAAAACTCTACCACCAATACCTCGCCAATTATGGACAGATGATTTTGCAGGTGAGAGCAGAAATTTCAGCTATGATTCAGCAGCTTTCCATTTAACTAGAGTGCATGTTGTGCCTTACACAGCTGAACATTTCTGCCTCCTCTCAGGCTTTGCATGACTCGACACCTACAAACCTTCATGAAAGTGGCAGGACTGAGTTTGTTAGTCTGAGTCCTCAAGCGCTTCTGTGTTACATAAGTTGATAATGATGATAAAAAATAGAAAAACAGACAAAACCTCCAAATCCCTACACAGCTGAGAGGTATATAAGATTAGAAGAGATTAGGGTGTTACGGTATTTGGTATCAGTTTTCTAACGACAGTCTATCGTCTCTGCAGGAGCTGGGCAGCGTTTACAGCACCCTGGCCGCCATCCTCAACTCCGGGGACATCGAGTTCTCTCCGGTCGCCACCGAGCATCAAACAGACAAGAGCAACATCTCCAACATTTCTGTCCTCGAGAACGGTGAGGAGGGAGGAGGGAGGGAGAGAGAGGGGAGAGGGGGGCCATGGTTACACTTCAGTATATGATGACGTAAAACCAAACATGACTCTGAATTTCCTCCTCTTCCTCCCTCTTCTGCTCCTTTCCATTAACTCCGCAGAGCTCCAGGTGGAGTGGAGCTAAATATAGGAAACTATTGTTCTGAAATAAATCATCCATCAGTACAGACGGGCTAGTGCAGAGTTCCAGAGACATTATTACCAAACGTACATCTGCAATGGGCAGATTTCACCGGACAGGACTTTCCTCAGGCGTTATATTTTCTAAATTTAAACATTTGTCCTGACGGGTCATTGACAAAGCTGTCCAGATGGGAACTTATTTTAATCTGAACCCAGAACATCATCCTCCTCCCTGAGTGTGAGTGAGGGCACTTAAAGTTTGCACACTCGTGCACTCACTTCTACTTTAGGAGTGTTAACTTTCATCCCATCCCTCATCTCGTGTCCCCCTTCAGTGGCCTCACTGCTGCGCATCCGCTCCGACGAGCTCCAGGAAGCCCTGACCTCCCACTGTGTCGTGGCCCGGGGAGAGACGATCGTCAGGCCCAACACGGTGGAAAAAGCGGCGGAGGTGAGGGACGCCATGGGCAAGGCTCTCTACGGCCGCCTCTTCAGCTGGATCGTCAACCGCATCAACTCGCTGCTGCGGCCCGACAGCCACCTGGGGTGAGATTCAGGAGCGGGGAGTGTGATGGTGTGTGCGTTTATGTGCGCGTCGTGAATGCAGAATGAGGTCATCTCGCAGAGTTCCTACTTATGTATGCGAAGAATAAAAAAGAACTTGCTGGAAAAATATATATATATATATAGATATATTAAGAAATGAAGGATGAATTTAAAGGCCTGATGTTTCATGTCTTCTCACCCTCCAGAGAGGATGACAAGGGCCTGAACATCGGCATCTTGGACATCTTCGGCTTCGAGAACTTCAAGAAGAACTCCTTCGAGCAGCTCTGCATCAACATCGCCAACGAGCAGATCCAGTTCTACTTCAACCAGCACATATTCGCCTGGGAACAGGTGAAGTCCGCCGACCCCGCCGCCGCAATCAGAGAGCGCTTGAATCCCTCCTTTGTGTGCATTTTTCACCTTGGTGCTACCTCATTTCCATCTAAATGGCGATAACATGTCATCATTTGTCACCCTGCGCTTTAAGAGAGACGGCGAGGGTGAAATATGCTGCTGTCTTTATTTACGGGAGAATGAGGTTCACGATTTTCCCCTTGTGCGGCCTCGTTGGGGGGGGGGTGTTGCCTTGGGGAGGGCGGTGGGTGGGGGTGGCTGGGCAGAGAACAGTTTGCTAATGTTAAATGATTTGGTCTCACCCATGGAGAGGAGCTATAAATCATCCCAAACGAGGGTCAATTAAGAGTTGAAGACAGTTAGCGTTGGACTTAAACTCACTCTTGGGTATTGTTGGCACCAAGCCCAGAAATACATTTGTCCTATACTGCCACCATGTACATATATACATATATATACTTATATACACAGAGCATAAGGGAACTGCACTGTGCTTGAAGATTAATAAGCACAGCACTCCTACCTTGTCACATCCAGAGTGAAATAAATTAAAGGCAGCATCATTGCATCACTAATTCATATGGATTTACTCCCTCATCTACAATGGGGTCCAAAAGTCTCACACCACTGTGTTTCCATACATGTTTACACATGCAGTTACATATTATCCCAATCTATCTCCATCCTCGCCGACTTCCTGATGTGCTTCATTTACCTCACAGCGTGCCGTTCATGCTAGAACAGGCACGCTGATTTGATGTTGTTTGTTCCCACTTTGTCCTTTTTCTTCACGGAGTAGAAGTCGCCGGCAACGTTGCTGAGTCATGCTAGCAGCCCCGAGAGTCAGTCAACCTGATGTGATCAGGTTAGCTCAAGATACAGTGCAGGGCTACGCTTGCTTTGCACCCCAACCCCCACCCCCACCCCCGGACCAGAGTTATCCAAATAGGGAAAAGAGCAGTTTGTAAGTACACACACAACAGGGCAACAAGTTCTGGATTTAACTCTGGATTCTGGAGGGATGAGTTTGGGTAATTTGTGTTGTCAGATGCTTCCAGTATTAATCTGTCTGATGCTGCAGCAGAAAAGAGCCTGGATAGAAAAACTGTTTAACCTCTTTTATAACCTCTGCACATTCAATCCAACCTGGTCTGATATGATATTCTGCTTTAGGTTCGATTATTTTGTGACAGATGTTTTTCCACACACACAAAAAAAAAGGTCAACTTGGTGTCATTTTCCCTGCGTTAGTTTAGGGATCAGTGTCTCCCAACTTCTCCCATAAGAAGGGGCAACAACAACAATCAGAGATGGGAAGGAAGAGATTATGAAATCATGTTTCCACTAAACTTTATTCAGTATTCAGACCACAATCAAACAGAAAACTCACATCCAGGATGTCACTTTTGCAAAACAGGAAGAAAATCTAGCGTCTTAAAAAAGGTGTGTGCCGTTTTCTGTGCAGGATGAGTACCTGAACGAGGACGTGGACGCTCGGATGATTGAGTATGAGGACAACCGGCCCCTCCTGGATCTCTTCCTGCAGAAGCCCATGGGGATGCTTTCGCTGCTGGATGAGGAGAGTCGCTTCCCGCAGGCCACAGACCAGACCCTCGTAGGTCAGTGATTTCAGCCGCAGTGGGAACTAAAGCTGCTTTTGGGTGGATTTACCGTCTACAGCCTGTATTTGTCTAGGAATTACCGACCAAGTGTGCAAAGTCTTTCTCAATAACAATCGTAAACAAGTTCTAAAGTACCAAAAAGAGAGTTTTTATTCACTTTCCTCAACCAAAATTTGTTGAGAAGGACGATGGAGGAGAAGCAAACCTCAAGGGGTTGTCTGAAATTTAAGTGTTCCAGCACCTGAAGGGATGAAACCAACTCTAATACCCTTTTTTTTTCTGGCAGAGAAAAACAATATTATGCTTTCTCCAGTCGGGACGATAATTAAATGATGTACAATTTGGTATTTTAGAGAAATTTGATGATAATCTCAAGACCAAAAGCTTCTGGAGACCAAAGAGGGTCGACCTCGGCTTTGGGATTCACCACTACGCCGGAAAGGTAATCGACATTTCATGATGATTCATTCATTTTAAACTGAAGCCAGTTAACACGTGTTGGCTTCTCATATATAACTCAAATCATTTATATATTTTTTTTCACTCCCAAGGTGATTTACAACGCCGCAGGCTTCTTGGCCAAGAACAGAGACACACTCCCGGCCGACATCGTCCTGCTGCTCAGGTCGTCGGAGAACGAGCTGGTTCGGAAACTAGTCACCCATCCGCTCACCAAAACGGGTACGGAGGATGTCGGCTCTTAAATGAAGTTTTACCTTCTAAGGAAGAAGAAGGAAGTTGTTTGCCACGACCCTTTTAATTAATCAGCAGTAATGCAAGTGAAGTGAAACAACAGGCTATTGTAACTCCTCCTCTTAGCAGGGCTTTTCCTCCCTTTTGTCTGCCAGGCATTTGCCGGCCCTGGCATCCCCTTCTTGGCAGAGCGGGCTCCGTCAAAATCCAACCGCAAAGCCAATAATCACATAATCGCTCTTTTTAAAGTGAAGCGTCGGCGTCACGTGACGGCGTGCCCGGTTTTGTCGTCGCTGACCTAATGAGCTGTAACTGGCGTTGAAAAGGGAAAGACGACTGAGCCTCATCCCCTCTTTGCTTCTTCCACAGGCAACCTTGCCCACACCAAGGGTAAAGGCATAAACACAATGCGCAGCCCGCGGACCCCGACACGCACCATCAACTTCACCAAGGTACTGTCTGTATTATCACTGTAATATCTCCTGCATCAAGAACTTCCCCTGAAAAAGTTACCCCCCCACCCCCCCCACCCCACAACACCTAAGAGCTGCTCTTTAATTACAATACAGCTTCTCCTGTTCCTGCCTTTTTGTTTTACCCAACTGTAATTATAGCTTCTTATTTTCTTCCCTTTCTTTTTGTCTTCTTCTCTCCTCATCGCTCTCTCTTTCTCTGCATCTCTGTCATAAAAGATGGGAGTGCTAACCTTATACAGTTCTTTTTCTTTCAGTGAGGTAATCAACATATTTCCACGTAGTTTGTGTCGTATTTTACCAAATTCGGTACGACCCTCACTCACTCCTTGTGGCCTGTGTTTCTATTAGAACCAGTTTCAGTTAATGCCTGTTATTTTCCCCTTAATGCATACAGTGTGTGTGCATGTCCGTGAGCTCGTGTGTGTGTGTGTGTGTGTGTGTGTGTGTGTGTGTGTGCAACCTTGCTTTGTAAAACGCTAAATGAATAACGAGCATCTCCATCTTCTGGACGTAGGACCTTATGCCAAGTATTCAAACTTTCCATTTTTTGCATTAAAAGCATTCAGTAATCAGTGAGTGAGTCTCTTTCGGCTGCTGGTGGCCAAATAAAAAATAAATAAAGATAAATAAAAACTCCTCCTGGCAACTTGATTACACTCCTCTCTTCAGTAAATTAGTTTACACTGTGGAAGTTCACGATTTTCGGCGCCTGAATGTAAAACCCGAGGCGGTTTGCTCCCCTAAAAGCAATCGGCAGTAGCTACATTCAAATGAACTGTTTTTGATGAGTTCTTGAATCTTATTTCCATTCATCTGCATATGTTAGACAAAAAAAAAATAAAAAATAAAAAAAAGCTCATCAAAGGCTTTCGCTCTTAAGAAGCAACAATGAGCTTTTTAAACGCTACAAACAGTCTTAGGCTGACGGCTTGCTGTAACGGTGCCTCCTCCCCTCCTCCCTCTCTCCCTCCCTCCCTCCTCCCTCCCTCCAGTGTATTTGTGCTGAGAATTAGATTTAGAGCTTGTTAAATTGTTACCAAATATATGCCGGAAGCAGGTTAATACATTTGTGTGTGTAATTGACGATGTTCATGTTGATGTAGCTGTCTGTGTTGTCTTTATGAGAGCAAATACTGTAAACGCCTAATTAATTCTAGCAGTTTTTAATCGTATAACTTGTGTTTGATTATGAAATAACGTACGACTGTAGCTTCAGACAGGTTGTATTTATGCAGACCGTGCTCTTGATTTGGCACTTTTTTATTTTTATTTTATGCATCTCTTTTGCAGCCTTCTCTGGAGTTAAAGCTCAAGCCTGAAAAAAAAATCTTGCTTGATGTGCCTCTCGATGACACAGTACAAACGAAAACGGTGATTGGTGATTTTTAAAAAAAAAACAAAAAAACAACAACAACAACAACAAAACAAAACAACATGATGAAAGTGCATTGAGAATTGTAATGGAAACATGTCCTCCATTATGATTTTTAAAGATGTGAATCATCTACAGGTGGGCTGCAGCTGACACAGTGTCTTTATTTTGCTCCCTTATCCTCAACTACTCTGTTGGCCTATGTGCACTGTTATCAAAATGCTCCCATTTATCCCATAAAGTTGTAAAAATAAAGGCATTAGTAGTGTAGAGAGTAGTGAAACCAGGCAGTACAGTTTGAATTATATTGGTTTTTGACACGTTTAATGTTTTTTCAGCCGGGCGAACAGGGAGACACGCCCTACCACCCGAGAGAAACCACCAACATGAGAACACAGACGGTGGCCTCTTACTTCAGAGTAAGACTTTATTCTCTCTTTTTTAAATTGCTCACGTGTCAGTGCAACAGTTTTTCTTTATTCCCTCGCTGCTCTCGTGGTCTCTCTAGTACTCTCTGATGGACCTGCTGTCCAAGATGGTGGCGGGGCAGCCTCACTTTGTGCGCTGCATCAAACCCAACAACGATCGCCAGGCCAGCAAGTTCGACCGGGAGAAGGTTCTGGTTCAGCTGCGTTACACCGGCGTTCTGGAGACCGCCAAGATCAGGCGGCAGGGTTACTCTCACCGCATCCTGTTTGCCAACTTCATAAAGAGGTCAGCAGGTTCTCGCTCCAGTTTTAAAAGGAAGGAAACAGCTGATTAAAGTCAGTGTGTGACGTGTCCAGCTGATGACGCTGATTGTTGCAGGTACTACATCTTGGCGTTCCCTGCTCACGAGGAGCCGGCTGGGACTCCAGAGACGTGTGCTGCAATACTGGAGAAGGCCAAGCTGGAGAGCTGGGCAATGGGGAAGACTAAGGTGAGTAGTGTTTGCGTTTGAAGTGGCGTTGGTAGTTGGTATTCCCCGTCACGGTATCTCGTGCAGCAGCCTGGTATAGTGAGCACGAGGCGTGGTGTGAAATCAGTGGCGTGCTCCTTTAAACGAGACACTGAGGCCCAGTTTGATAAAGTTTAGAGAAGAAACACTGTGTTTTATTGTCAAATCAGAACATCGTGCTTTCACTAACTGGGTGCATTGGCTTCCTCACTGCACTGACGTCAAAATAAAACCCATTTCAGCTTGGCGTGATTGTACAGGCGAATTATAATGCTGTTGCTAGGAGGGGGAGAACATGACTGCAACACACTGAAATGATGACTTCATTGATGCTGGGATCGATAAAGTGTTTTGTCTTGGCTGTCAGGTTTTCCTGAAGTACTACCACGTTGAACACCTGAACCTGATGGTGCAGCAGGCAACACAACGCATCATCCTGCTCCAGGCGTACGTTCGCGGCTGGCTGGGAGCCAAGCGCTACCGGCGGATACTGAGAGAGCGGGAACAGAGCGCTCTGGTGCTACAGTCGGGTTAGTAATCCGCACGCTCTGTCAGTGTCCCGGAATATGAATGAGTCACGGAGCAGCTGCGCTAATTCACGCTTTAATCTCCAGCTTACAGAGGTCATAAAGCTCGGAAGAGGGTCGCCGAAGACAAGATCAAAGCGAAGTTTGAGGCCTTCATCACCCAGCTTCAGGCCGGTGAGAACAGTCGTTCTACACGATCCGAGCTTGGTGTGAGTTCTGCTGGTTTATGTTTTGTTTGTCTCCCTCTTCAGTTTGCAGGGGCTACCTAGCGAAAAAGAAATACAAGGAGTTGATGGACGAAAAGAACAAGGCTGCGACCAAGATTCAGGCTCGATACAGAGGCCACAAGGAAAGGAAAAGCTTCAAAAGAAAACGGTGAGGGAAAATCCAAACAATATACCCCTGGAAAAAAAAAAAGATGTTGAATTGTTTGACTGACAAAGATGTACCCATTTTCTTTTCTAGGGAAGCCAAAGAGAAAGAGAAAGCAGAGAAGGCCCTTAAAGAAGCAAAGGACGAGGAGGACGAGACTAAAGCCGCTGTGGTTCTCCAGAGCAACTACAGGGGATTTAAAGAGAGGAAAAAGTTCAAGGAGAGGAAAAAGACGATGGCCGGGGCCGAGCTAGAGCTGCCGCCAAACATAGTGGAGGAAGAGGAACAGGAAATAGGCGGGGAAGAGCCTACGGGTAAGGAAGAAGGGGCAAAGACAGAGGAGAATGAGGAGGATGAAGAAAGTACTTATGAAGCCGAGGAAAATGATGACAGCGATCACACACAGGTGCCAGAAGATGACGAACATACAGAGGTGGCGGATGAAGCGGTGATTTCGGACGCACCAGCAGCAGAAGCTGGAAAAGAGGAGCAGGAAGAGGTCAAGACGGGGGGAAATGGACAGGAAAATGCTGCAGGGGAAGAGGCTGTCAACTTAGAGGAGGAAACCAAGGCAGCCACTGTGATCCAGAGTAATTTCAGAGGTCACAAAGAGAGGAAGAGGCTGCAAGAAGAAGGCAAAATCCCAGCGAAGAAACAGAAAGGAAAAAGCCCGACAGGTGAAGAAGAAGAAGAAGCAGCCGCAGCGACCACGGAGGAAGAACTTCCCGAAGCTCCGACACCGGCAGAGGAAATCTGCAGTGAAGACACAGAAAAAGGAGAAAAAGAGGAATCAGCAGAAGCTCAAGAAGTTTCTCGTAGCGACGCCAAGTCAGAGGACGCAGACGAGGCCAAAGCAGCGGTGGTGCTTCAGAGTAACTTCCGCGGCCACAAGGAGCGCAAACGTCTGGAGGAGGAAGGAAAGATCCCGAAGAAAAAGAAGAAGAAGAAGACGAAGGTTACACCAGGACCTCCAAAAGAGGAAGAACAGGTGATGCACACAGAAGAATCGGCGCCAGACTCCCAGCAGGACGCATCTGCCGAGAACGTGGACGGACTGGACGAGGAGAAAGCTGCTACCGTCCTTCAGAGTAACTTCAGGGGCCACCGGGACCGAAAGAAGCTGAAAGCAGAGAAAGAAGCTCAGAAGAAAGCGACGGAAGAGGCCGCCAACGATGCAGAGGGGGGAAGTAAAGAGGAGCGAGAGGAAGCCGAGGAGGAGGTCCTGGATGTTACTGATGTGGAGATTGAACATAAAGAGGAGACTGAGGCTGAGAAAGAAAGACTGGAGGAGGAACAGGCGGCAGTGAAGATCCAGAGTAACTTCAGAGGGTACAAGGACAGGAAGAACCTGAAGGCCAACAAGGAAACGGCACAGAATGAAGCTCAGCAACTAGAGAGCTTCTCAAAACAGGTCACGCCACTTTACTCCCCAGTCACCTCCCCAACTTATAATTTTTTTCCTACTCGTATATTATTTCTGTTTAATCTCTTTCGACAGATCGCGCAGACTTCTCAGGACTTCGGCGCCCTGCAGCAGAAGCTGAATGAAATCATCCAGGCCCATCAATCAAACCCGGCGAACAACGGCATGTTTGTGAGGGGGAAAGCAATGAATGGCTTCGCTCCCCAGAATCAACAATCAAGTAAGATAAGAGAGACAGACTCACTGTTTGTGTGTGTGTGTGTGTGTGTGTGTGTGTGTGTGTGTGTGGGGAAAAAACAGATGATAAAAAGGTGATACATGCAATGCAGAGTGTGGGCTCGGATGAACCTGAAGTTAATGTGCAGTTTTGGTTCTGTTTTTTTTTTTTTTTTTTTTTTAAACCCTGAATCATCAAGGTAATCAAGCGAGAGTTCAGGATTACATTCACCCACATGATTCAGAGTGGAACTGAGTCATTTCCTGACGCACAAAGAAAGAAAGGGAAACAGGGCTACGTTCAAACTTTAAATGGAAATATCCAGGATCTGGGGAAAGGAATCTGTCCGTACTCGTGATGTTATCAGAGGGACGGCGTCCTCTCTCTCTCTCTCTCTCTCTCTCTCTCTCTCTCTCTCTCGTGCGTCTTGATTAGGTCAGGAAACCTGGGAAAGTCAAGTGCCAAAACAGGAAGCGCCTTCTCTACCTGATGTGTCATCAAATATAAAAAAAAAAATTTCATCTGCGCAGGTGATAGGTGTAATTGCTTTTGTGGCGGGGGTGCAAATTGAAAGTTCACTGTCTCTGTGAAATCAGAGATGGCAGCTGAAATGTCACCGCCGTCGCAGGTTCGGGTGTCTTGATGAAATAATGAAGTAATTATGTAATAAGATCAATGAGTTTCTTGGACGGTATCGTGATTATTCTGTAATCCATTTGATCTTTTGTGGATTTTTTCTTAAGGTTTATTACAGAATCTAGAGCGTAGGTTTACAGTGTCTCTTGAATCTTGTCGAATTCTAATAATTATTGTGACATTTCGTCTTTTAATTAGTCGCACTATAAACTATTAATCGCTTATTTACCCTGAACATGATTTACCCTAACCTAGTTAACACACACACACACATTATGTGGTGTTCGATCGTTCAAGGTTTTGGGGAATAGGCATATTTGCTTTCTTGCCCAGATTTAGCCAGGATGCGGTTAGCTTAGCTTAGCTTAGCATAGCATAAAGACTTGAAAACAGAGGGGAAACAGCTAGCATTGTTTGGATTTCCCCCTCATATCGTTTTAATGACAAATTAAGTGTATGTATGAAGTATGAACATTTTTACACACAAACACACACACACAAATAAACAGACATGTTTGCCCTTTACAGGCTGTTCTTGAGCACAGCACGTTGCCTGAAGTAAAGCAGAATGAATTATCTGTGTTATTTCCGAGGGCTACAGCAACTCCCTGTAAAGTGATGCTTTTCAGCCCCACTAGGTCATTTCTCCATCGATAGGCCGAAGCCGTCCTCATGAATTTAATTGACGTAATAAAACTTCATAAGAATCATTTGTGACACAGACAATAAAACCGGAGGAACGCCAGTCACAATGTTCTTCATGGGAAAGGTCATCAAATGTTAATCACGTTACTGCGAGTGAGCGTTTCCGGCAATTGTGGCAGGAATTAAAAAAAAAGAAAAAAGAGGGTGCGTGAAATTGGCTTTACTTTGTTTGAGCAACACAGAGTGACCTTTTAGAGCCACTCGTTCAATAATATCAGAAACTTTTCATCTCCTTTACCTGAGAGCTTCTGCACGTGATGGATGGTTTTCGCCACGTGTTCTTCACCCTGGCGTGAACGCTGATTAATAATGAGCAACAAGCAAAGGTCATTGTAATATGTTTATAATTGCAGTATATCAGCTCATGACAAATGGAAGACGTCATGCATGTAAAAAAGAAGTCAAGCCGGTCACAAACACACGCCTCCCGCTTTATGTTCAATAGGTGAACATGGGTCATTACATAGTTATAGGGCTCTTTGTGTCAAAGGTTGTTTCACATAATCTCTGTTGGAAAATTCAAATCAGCCAAAGGCCTCAGGGTTAAGCTACCGTACGTATGGAGGGCCGCTCAATAAGCACAACAAAGTCAAAGTGTAGCGTGGCGTTGGATCACGCTCAGCAGTCGCTTTAGTAATCCAGTCGGCCGTGTGCATCGATTCCACCGACTCTCCGGCCATCTGCTCGTGATGAGCAGCCGCACAAATGACCACAACAAGCTGGCTCCTTCAGCAAGATGGAAAAACACTGACCTGCTGTTGGATGCGGGTGTGTCATATGTTGGCCTAACCTTCTTTAACCGTCACGTCGTCTTATTTAGGCGCTCAGGTTTCTGCAGAGATCATCACCAACCTCACTTAGAGCTGAGGCGCGATGGACGGAGGGTTTGAACCAAACAGAGAGTCGAAAGACGACGGCTTGTTTGTTTCGTCTCAAAGCTGAAAAGGGACAAAACATGTCTTGAAAATTTAGGAAAAATCAGCCCTTGTGCGTCCTGACGGCCAAAGGGTTAAAAGGCGCCGACTGTGTGTCGCAACTTCCTAAAAATAAACTACCTTTGCATGTGACAAATAAAATGTAGAGCTACTGTTTAGTGGCATCATTGCTTATACCTGAAACATAAAATACAATAATATAATTATGTATTATTAGTATTCAAAAACCCACCTTTAATTGACATGCATTTTCACACCTCTCGAAAGGCATTCTGGGTAAATATAGGAAATAAGACAATCCAAGTTGAAGGGGGGGAAATGTGTCGCCAAAAAAAAAAAA